TTCGAATCATTCCAAGACTCACCACACTTCACTATGCCACACATGAGACATGGTTGAGAGCACTTGTTGAGCATATTCGAAGTATCTGATGTTTTCATCTATTGTTGAGTCCTAGTGATGATCTGGGAAGACAACGTCACATGTATCGATTAGACCAAGACATGATACATCAACGAAGTCAACGCCAAGACATATTGCATCTACATCACATCAGCAACCCATCAGGAGATTAAAGTCAAGCAATTTGATTCCAAACAATCTTGCTGACCTCTTCACGATGTCATTGCCGAAGGCTACCTTCCAGAAGCTTGTCTGAGGAATTGGTGCGATGCTTGCGATTCTCATTTGGAAGTTTTGTCAAACTCAAGGGAGTATGCAGAAGTATACTCACTTGATCTTAATGTACTCTTTTTCCTACGATTAGAAGCATTTTTCCCACTAGATTTTTGTTACCTAACTAGATTTTAACGAGACACCCATCATGAGATGGTCATACCTTTGTGAGCATTCTACTTTCATCCAAATGGCGTATAGTTTTGACTTAATACATTAGTTTTAACTTAATACAAACTTCTCACGTTTCTCTTAGTCCATAGGTTTTTCTCTTATACTGAGTTTTACCATAACAAGGTTTTGAGAGTTTTACATTTTTATGCATTCTCTCGTTGATTTGAGACTCACATTCACTAATTGAGTCGACAACTTCATCAACTGAACTTAGTTCATCGTTGAAGACGTGATGCGCCATTTACTTAGTAATATATACACGCTCAAGGGAGAGTGTTGCAGTCCTAATTTAGTAGGAATGTGATTATGTAAATCCTAGTCAATCTTTATGAGATTCTACCATATGTTTTAGATAGTATCATGTTTAGGTTATAATATCTATTGGATAAGGAATTTACCTTCTTACTACTATAATAAAAGCTCAGTGGGATGAGAAATCATACCTCTGAATTTTCTAAATTCTCTCTATGCTTGCCACACCTCTCTCAATCTCTCTATAACTCGTCAGATAATTAGGCCCTACAACAATATATAAATATATATATATATATATATATTGTAATATATGATATTTTGACTATGAAATATATAGGTATTGTAATATATAATATTTTAACTCATTCATATAACGTTGCGTGATTGGTTTTTTATATCGCAATTTTAACGTTCTTGTTTTAAGTCCTTATATTGTCATCCCTAGTCTTGGTTCCCTTGATGCCCGTGCCCATAATAGATCGCCCCTAATAATCAATATCTTTTTATAGTAAGGATGTACCTACTGAGAATATATTTGTTTGAAGGATCGATGTTTTGTTTCTTCTTTGCAAAAAACATGTAAGGCAAAACTGGTGTAGGTATCTAAATATGTGTGAGATAAGGAGAGTAGATGTTCTAGGGTTTAGCGTGTTGTGGGTTTAAGTGGGTGGGTAAAGTGAGAATAATTAGTTTGTTCTTTAGCTTAGGTTAATTAGGTCATTTTCCATTAACAACCTAAGTGCAAAAATAGGTTAGAGTGCAATTATAATGTCAATTAGCCTTCCAATTATATCTCTGTTTACCTCCCCCCGGCTCTTGACACTCTATTTTTGAAGAAATTTTTCAGTGTGTCGGAACACGACACGTGTACAAAGTGTTGTAGTATAATTAGTTGAAAAAAACTTTCTTTTCAAGTTTCCAATCAATTGTATTATTACATTTGGCGTATCGAGTCGTGTTCCCAGCAGACTAAAAAATCTCTCCTATTTTGCACCACGTAGAGAAGAAAAAACCATTCTGTCTATGCGTGTTCAGTACAACATGAAATTGAGATAATTCCAACAAAACGCACATTAAAGTTTTGTACTTTTTTTTCTAATGAATTTTAATTGCCGGATTCATTGTTTAATGAGTAAGTTATAATTTTTTTCCTAATGAATTTTAATTGTCACATACATTGTTTACTGAGTAAGTTTTGTACTTTTTATTTTTCTAATGAATTTTAATTGTCGGATTCATTGTTTAGTGAGTAAGTTATAATTAGCTAACGCTCCATGGTCCCATGCGCCAACCAAAATAAACCCACAGACGCTTGATAATATAATATAATGTACATACACAACATCTATAAATAAACAACACTGTATCTAAAAAGTCTCGAACTTTTACATCATTTAATTTATTATACGAGTAAGCGTTATTTGTATATAACTTTGGCGAATAATATACATAGTACAGAGACTAAATCATTCACAAACACATATGGATCCATGTATATACGTTGAAAATGAATGCAGTTTTGGAGTATTCCTAGTGCATGTAGCTAGTGTTCAGGGAGGCTGCCTTGCACCTTAACCGTCATAGCAAACACATTTGAAAAGTAAGCAGGCTCCAGCAGTCGCACCTTCCCGTTATGTGCGTGCCTTGTTGCAGTTTGGACTCCACAAGCATGAACCCTGCCATGTACTACTATAAGACCAATCACGGCATCCTATAAGCTCGCTATCTGCATTGTGCAAGAAACATAAACAGTCATAAGTAAAAGATCGAAATAAAAAGAAAAGAAGTCAATCGATGACCATTTTCATTACAAGAGATTTTTCGGTGTCCATACAATGTTATTGTTCCACTTAAATGATACCATGTGTATTTGCTATTTATCAGTACACTTTGAAAGTGAGACATATCAACTATGTCTTCCACCTGTACTATAACAATAGAAATTACACACCATATGGCAAGTGGTGTTTTCGATACACGTAAAAACTTGTCTATATTCTTACTTGCAACTGCAAAGACGATGAACAAAACAAAGAGCACAGAAAGGCAGATTTTTTTTGAGGTTTTAGCCATCTTCTTCCTCAGCTTTTCAATTAGTAATAAAATTTACAATTGCATGGCACAACTTGTTCGAGTTTTAGGGGCTGAATATACATGCTTGACTTGCAAAGGGGGGGATCAGTTAGGGCATCTGTAGAAATATTGAGGTCCACTCGTTCCACAGTGTGGCAGGTGAGCAAACCTATGTGCACCATATTTAGGTACAAATAACATGTACAATTGGATAGAAACAACAACTACAACAGAAACATTGCTAAAACACACATCTTCTCCTCTCATCATGCTTATGTAGGTTAGTTCGTTGGATCTATGTGTCCAGAGCCGACGGACATTTGGATTTGAACTATTCATTTTAAAACCTGCTTTCTTCATTAGTCCATTACATTGGCCCATCTAACACATATTAAAGGTTTGGATCTCTCTCTTTTTAACGACTCGAATCTCTGGATCCTTGGACTCTGGACACAAAGATTAGGAGAGAATCGGTTCAATTTCAAGAGCTCTGGTCATGTCTTTGGTCGTGTTGGGTTCCAAGGACATAGTTCAAGTTCATGATTTCCGTGGCACTTTGGAACAGATCATCCATATCAATTTTTGGGCAGTGTAGGCTTGAATGGGCTAGGGGTTAAACCGTTGCCTGGAACTTGGGCTGGGCTGCTTGAGGTTGTGAGAGAGGAATCTCTTCTTGCGAGACTTCTGCATGCAAAAATTGTTGGCACTTGTTTCATTACAGCTGAAACTAATACGGCTTTGTGCCTCACTTTCACAAGATTACAAGAAGTTGAATCATGAAAAGTTGAAAACTCGTATAAAATACGTTGACGTGCTATTGCCAATGTATTTTTTCTAGAAATTTATCATTTACTCCGTTGCTCCTTTTTGTTTTTAGTTTCAAGACTCGGGGCCTACATATTTTGAATTTTAGATCTCTCTTATCTCTTAATATATTTGTTTAGACTTTTACAAGTAACGTGGGTTAAGGCGTGATGGTTGGGATAGGAGGTTTCGTTGATGTTAATATTATCGACGTATTTTAGTAGTGGAATAATAAGCACTACTGCATCAGCATGCATCAGGCCGGCAGGTGGAGATGCCCATGCCCAGCTGGACCTCTCTCTCTCTCTCCCTCCCTCCCTCCCTCCATCGCTCCCCATATATGATATATATCCCGCTTGCATTAGATTGAATTTCCATGCATGCATGTGAGCCATATTATATAAAGGGGGTGGGGTGGACGACAGGTGAATGCATAAAGGGAAAAACAAATAAATGACGAGAAAGTAGAAGGGAGGGAAGAACCAGGATCTTGTTGGTCATTTATTATAGGTTAATAGAATGGGAGGTTTTGAAGGCAGCAGTTGAGATAGCCACCTAAAACATAAAGCATAAATTAAATACATGTTAATCTTGTGAGGTGTTACAGTATTTTAGTTTTTTATTGCAGTTGATGTTATTACCCTAAGTTAAATATATTAAAGGAAGATTATTTAGTACTACGGTTTAATAATAGTTTTCTTTTCTTGTAAGTGAGAGGTTTTAGGTTCGATTTTTGTCAAAGACGTATTTAAACCACATTATTACTAGCCTATTGTGGGGCTTAGCCCATCCCTTCCCTCTTAGTGTAGATAATATCGACTAGACCAAAACATGATACATAACGAAGTCAACGCCAAGACATATTGCATTTACATCACATCAGTCAAGCGACATGAGATTGAAGTTAAGCAATCCAATTCCAGACAATATTGCTGACTTCTTCACAACGTCATTGTTGGAAATTATATATTATAATATAAAATATTGTAATATGTAATTTTAATAATTGAATAAAAAACAATGTTAACCATATTTCTTAGAAATGTTATGTTATTTAGGTGCATTCCTTTGTCAAATGATGTATACTTACAGATGAAAAGTTACATCTCTTTAACAAGAAGTACTTGGGTGCTATATAAACTCATAAAACCATCATCATTAAGATAGAAAATTAGAGTTAATTTTTACTCTTGAGAAATAGGGTTTCCCCACTTTGTTTCTCAAATGCTTCGTGTGTCCACACAGTGTTACTGTTCCACTCAAATTATAACACGTGTATTTGCTATTTATTAATATACTTAAAAAGTGAAACATATCAAATATATCTTCCACCCGTATTATAACAGGCAGAATTACACACCCCATGGCAATTAGTGTTTCCAATACATTTAAAGACTTGTCTTTTCTTACCTGCAACTGCAAAGACGATGAAAAAAACCAAGAGCACAGAAAGGCAGATTGACATTGAGGTTTTAGCCATCTTCTTCCTCAGTTTTTCAATTAGTAATTAAAATTACAATTGCATGGCGCAACTTGTTCGAGTTTAAGGTGCTATATATATATGCTTGACTTGCAAAGTGGGGATCAGTTAGGGCATCTGTACAAATATTGAGGTCCAGTCGTTCCACCGTGAGGGCAGGTAAGCAAACCTTATGCGCACCATATTTAGGTACAAATAACAACATGTACAATTGGATAGAAACAATAACTACAACAAAAACATTGCTAAAACACACATCTTCTGAGCTCATCATGCTTATGCAGGTAAGTTCGTTGGATCTACGCGTCCAGAGCCGACGGACTTTTAGATTCCGGCTACTCATTTTAAATCATGCGGTTTTCATTAGTTCATCCCACTGAGCCATCTTACACAAATTAAGAGTTCAGATCTCTCTGTCTTTTCAACGGCGTGAATCTCTAAGTCCTTAGATTCCAAACAAAGATCCGGAGAGGATCGGTTCAATTTCAAGAGCTGCGGTCATGTCTTTGGTCGTGTTGGGTTCCAAGGTCATAGTTCAAGTTCATGATTTCCATGGTAATTTGGAACAGATCATCTATATCAATATTTGGGCAGTATGGGCTTGATGACCCAGATCATTTTCTAACACCCTTTTGTGAATGGGCCAGGGTTAATCCGTTGCCTGGAACTTGGGCTAGGCTGCTTGTAGTTGAGAGAGAGGAATCTCTTCTTCCGAGACTTCTCCATGCAAATATTTTTGGCACTTGTTTCATTACAGTTGAAACTTTTATTGCTTCGTGTCTCTTACTTTCACAGGATTACAAAATGTTAAATCATGAAAAGTTGAAAACACATATAAAATACATTGATCTATTGCCACTTACTATTACGGTCTGATTGTATTTTTCTTCGTTTGTAAGTAAAAGATTTTATATTTGATTTTCGTTAAAATCAATGTTGAACCGCATTATTATGGCAAACCTATTATAAGGCTTGAGATTGTAAGACTTGGCCTACTCTTATACCCCTTAGTGTTTTTGTGATACATTTGTAGATGGTGTTAGTTACCCAGAGAAATTGGGCTGAATTGGGCCATAGAGAAGGGGTTTTGCACTTTAAGCACCAATGTAATCAGTGTGCTGCCAAGACCATCAAGAATGTGCCCATGATAAAACATTTTGCCACTAGTTTGAAAACATCTTCACCACACAAATTCCTAGATGAAACATTTATTAACCTCACCCTTCTTTCCCTTAGAGCTTATGGCTCGGACTCCTCCACCCCATCTCCTTAACATAAATAATTTCGTTTGTTTAAAAAAAAAAAATTATCCACGTATTTTAGTAGTGGAATAATAAGCACTACTGCATCAGCTTGCATTGCATGCATGTGAGCCAAATTATAGAAAGGGCGTGGGGTGGGCGACAGGTGAATGCATGAAGGGAAAACAAATAAATGACGAGAAAGTAGAAGGGAGGTAAGAACCAGGATCTTGTTGGTCATTTATTATTGGTTAATAGAATAGGAGGTTTTGAAGGCAGCAGTTGAGTTAGCTACCTAAAACATAAAGCATAAATTAAATACATGTTAGTCTAGTGATGTGTTATAGTATTTTAGTTTTTTATTACCGAAACATGTCCATTAGGTTAAAAAATAATGCCCACAGGCCACAGTAGTATACGTAGTCACTTGAACTAATCACTTTTGTTTACTATAATTTTGAAATATGACTTGATCGACCATCCCATGTGCCTTGCAAGAATATTTTTATTTTTATTATTTTTTAATATGCCTCGTGAAAATTATTTAATGGTGTTTATACAAACGTGAATTTCCATGCACATAAAATATATATATATATTAACTTTCCCTTTCATTCCTAACATATATATATATATATATGTCGATTAGAAAAGATAGTATGGCAGAGTTGATTCAAATGAACTTTATTAATAAAAATACTTTTTGTTCATACAAACAGGGACGGAGCTTGTTTGTTTTTTCAGTTGGTGGCGAACTTAACCTCCTGTTGTATTTGAGGAAAAGAAATTCATTATAGTACAATTTCTTCTATAATTTTATTATTTTTCGGTTTTTTCTCAAATTTTATTGAGTTAATTTGTAGATATTTTTTCACAATGATATCTTATTATACATATGTGACAACCCGTTCCAAATTTTACGTTTTTATTTTATTTTAAAAGTGTGAATTTACGAAATTGCCCTAGAGGCAAGGACTTTGACTTCTGTTGACTATCGTCTAGAGAGACGTATAACTTATTCTTTTAACATATTCTCGTAATACTCGTGGATGTGAACGCATAGGCGAAAGCCGTTTGCAAGTCCGGATTATAACGGTATAGTTACGGACGTTCGAAATTGGTTATTCAAGGTTTAGTGTTAATTAAATTAAATCCCCAATCAGAAATTGGTTATTTAAGGTGAAGCCCAATCAGAAAAAGGAAAGAAAGAAAAAGATAAAAAAAAAAAAAAAAAAATCGCAGCTTTTCCCACTCGCGACCACCCATTTTTCAAGGCCGATTCCGGCCAACTCCGGTGGAGTTTTTCGATGCCACCACCACCATCTTGAAGCTCTCATTCCCCTCTACAAAATCCACCCAAGAACCACCTTGATTAACCATGGGATGTGGAGGTTTGAAGCCACAAAAGTTGACGAAAATCAATGGTGCTCCGGCCACCCTTTTCGATTTTCCGGCAAATCGGCAAAGCAATGGCCGATGCCACCACTTGGGCTTTGTAGCCCATCATCCCAGGAGCAAAACCCAACCAACCTTGACCCCGTTGGACCACCGTAGACGACGAATCGACGTCGGGAAGTTTTAGGCATCCGCCGGCTTCGTGGGCAAAATTGACCATCTTCCGTCCACTTTTGGACTTCATGGCAGGGACCAATCATTTAGGACGCCTCGATGCGTGCGCTAGAGAATCATAGCGTGGACTCCAGGTGAGTGTATTTTTTCCTTTTTATCGTACATATTATTGAGAGTTCTATCGACACCTTTAAATTGATTAGGCATATTACTTTCATTTATAATTATTGTGAATGCTTGAAGTACTATGTGAACTACGAATGGCTTGATCCCTGTTTAGGGTACGTAGGCAGTCTAACGAGACGTTAGATGCAGCCATAAAATATTTGAGACAAAAGCCTTGCTTGGGAAATTGAGTAATGCGAAGGAAATTGGTTAAGGCAAGTTTTAGTTTTATGAATTAGTTAGTTAAATTAGTGTTAATTGGGTTGTCATGAATAATTATCCTTGAAAATAAGTAGTTTGGGAGTAGGGCGTTATTGATTGTACACTTCACACTATATTGTTTATAATTGAAAATGCTACGACATGGTTGAGTAGTAGATTGCATCATGATATATCCATATGTATATTACTTGCATATAATTATTGGGAATGCTTTCACGTGCAAAGGTGAACTCAGGACACCCAGGTAAGTTCAGGTGAGTTTATGGTACTAGTTGAATCGATTGCGTTATAGCATGACTACAGTTATGAGTTAGGCAACTTCGATACGGTCGTACTGGTTGCCATGAGTTGCACATGTTATATTGAGATGCATTGAGAGCTCATAAACCTGCACCTCGGTGTTAGTGCTCCCGCCTGTGGCCAGGGCACAGTCCTTCACGTGATGTTCACCTCCCGCACCTTACGCTCACCTTGGATCCAAGGTAGGTGCACAGTCCTGTCGTACAGACCACTTTAAGTGGTTCCGACTCGTAGGTGACCCATGATTATTCGCCCAGTCTTCACGTGATCGTAGCACTTGAGCGTATTTATTTACACCCAGTCCTGTCGTACATACCACTTTAGGTGGTTCCGACTCGTGTGCAGGTATACCTATTGAGCTATTGGCTAGCCAAGATTGATGAGATATGGATAAGTCGTACAGGTCACTATAGGTGACTCCGACTTATATGCTAGCCAGGATTGACGAGATATGGATAAGTCGTACATGTCACTATAGGTGACTCCGACTTATATGCTAGCCATGATTGATGAGATACGGATAAGTTGTACATGTCATTTTAGCTGACTCTGACTGATATATCACTTTGTATTGATTTAGTTCATTTGGCCTACTTATGAATGTATGGTGGATGTGATGGCAAACCGTGGTTTTGGTCATTTCTGAGTATGGTTTGGATATATGTATATATGTTGTACTGTCTTATGGAAAACGATACGGGTTTTACATTTAGGGGCATTACTTTTTGAGAGGTAGTAACTTTGGGAAGCTTGGTTTTATTGCTTACTCACACCTTCTGTTTGGTGCCCTCCAGGTTTTAGCTGCTGAGTTTGTATCGAAAAGAATCTATGGCGAATCTTAGTATTGATGGATATTTTTGAGGGTATGATTCTTACCCACATTACTGCACCTTACTTATGCTCTGACATCGCGTGTGAAATGAGTTTGCTCCCACTCGTAGCGCACTCTGGTACTTAGACACTTTTAGATTCAAATTTATTCACTTTTTATGCACTATCACATTTTATGGCTTCGTCACCTTCCAGGTGTCGCCCAGCACAGCTCGATTTAGGGTCCAAGTGGACTTTCTGGGTCGGGGTGTGTCAACATATTATTAAAAAAATTTAACTTATCAATTAAAGTACTGGAATACCATAAGTTCAAGTTCGGTTCATTGTGGTTTGTTTTCTCTCTACAAATTAAACTTCAATGGTGGTAGTTGTCCCCAATAAGCCTTAGTTGCATCCGTCCTTACATGCAAATGATACTAAGAAGGGGGGATTTGAACTTAAAATCTCTAATGAGAGAAGTCAATATATATGTTTTTTTCCCATAATTTTAACCAGCTAAGTTGTAAGCTCTTGCAGCAATTCTTTTCCCGACCAGTTAGGCTTTTTTAGTCTCGTGATTAACCTTTGCTAATTGGTTGTGTTTATTTTAGTTAATCACGACCTCCATCCATGTTACTCCTGGGCCCCACAAGCAATTTCACAAATAGATGACAGCTAAACAAAATAAATAAGGGCAAATAAAGATTTGATATGTACATGTATGATTTGTCAAATTATTAGAGACGGGTTAAATGTCTACTTTCAACAACATCGATGTTATTCTAAATTTGTTAATCAACACATGCACAATCAATCAGCTATGAGGTTTTATCACAAAGTGACTCAGTATTGGTGGAGCCAAGGAGATTCACCTTACACACAGGGCCAAATGACCCACCATCATTGCACGAGGCCAAGGGGACTCACCTATTACGTGACAGTACAAGTATGCTCTCTGGCTCTGATACTATGTCAAATTATCAAAGAGACTGGTCAAATGTCCCACTTCCAATAACATCGATATTGTCCCCAACTTGTTCTATCATCTGCACAATCCGTCAAATATGAGATTTTCTTTACAAAAATATCACAATATTAATTTAAGTAGAGTTCAGATATCTAAGCTCTTTTTTTTTTAGAGATACAACCGATGATGTCACATATTTCAAGATGATGGATCACCAACGACCTTTGCTAGAGATTTGGAAAACCCTCCACCAATTTCTTTGAACTTGTTTAATTGTGTGGGTCAACACATTCAACAATACGAAAGCGTTGGAAGACAAATGCATCCACATGGTATAACTCAAAAGTCCCGTCGTAAGCATTACAACAGACATACCTTTCCCAGGTCCCAACTCACAAAAGGTCTCCCTCCCCTGGCTCCCCATGCTTTTCTTGGCTTCTTACCTTAGTAAACACAAATTACATGTATAAAAGGGTAGAGTTTATAATTCTTTTCTTGTTTTCCCCAATGCTTTTTCTATTTTGTTTTATACTTCCCGAATTTTCTTAGAAAATTAATACAAAGTCCATCACGAAACACTTAGACAAC